CCATCTTTCCTCTCACTTCACACATTCTGAGGCCACTCCGCGTGTTCGGCTGCCTCGACACCTGCCAGCGGGTTTTCCCGGGCTAGCTGCCTCGGCTGGCCTGTGGCCCCAGTGGGTGTAAATGGAATAGGGGGAAATGTCGATAATTGGATGAGAGAGATAGCAAGCAACCCTCCTTGCCAAGGAGAGGAGAACACTTATCTGTAATGTTGACTACCCTAAAGTGAAATAAAGTGGTGCGCGGACAAAACAAAATGATATCAAGGTTTGAAAAGGCACATCTAACCCAGAGAGTAAATGACCCCTTTGGTGTTTCATGGTTATGATGCCTCCAATTATTAGAGAAGCGGTATTATACTCTCTATTCACCTCAGTATAATGCTATTACTTTGTGCTCCGTCATTCCCTCCAAGATAAAGGGAAAGTTCCATAAAAGTCTTCATTTGCAAGGGGGAAAACCTCTTCCCCCTATTAAGGTTTGTCAGTGTGATGCTAAAAACGGGCCTTTGGTTCACTTCTGGGTAATTGATTCTCTGACGCTGACAACGCTTAGGAAAATGAAGGTATAAATGATGGGCGCACCACGCAGCTGCCGAGCAGCAAACACTGAGCCTGAGGTCCAGGGAGCAGGAGAAGCGCCTCAGAGCAGAGGGACACCTGCCACGTCGGAGGTGAGAGAGGGTGGCCCTGGGGGCTGGGCTGGATGGGGCAAGAAGGTTGACCTTCTCACCAAGTCAGAGACACCAAGTCAAAGAGGCCCACCACCATCTTTTTTGCCTGTGAGCCCCTTCGGGCCCCTGGTTAAGGGATCTGGAACATGCTTTAGATGACTGGCACCATGTTGAGGTTGTCTCGAATACGTGGCAGCCCAACCATAGAAAGGTAGCAGGCAGACAGATGAGTTTCAAGTGTTTGTTGGGGGCGGGTGAGGTCTCAGCTCTCCTTCACGGGTGTGTAGGCAGGCATCTGGGACAAGACATGAGCTGGCTAGAGTCACCAGTCGACAGTGGGGTGCTGCCATGGATCAGAAAGGAGCCAAGTGGCTATGCAAATCAATACCACCCATCTATCTCGCTCAGATCCATTCAACATAATTGCCTGGAAATTGATAACATTTTGCTTTCTTGCTCAACTGCACCTGCGCTCCTTACTCAAGGTTTCAGATGCAATTATCTGCCCTTGGAGTGCTCCATTACCCCCACGCTTGTCTCTTGATCCCCACGCTTTGACGGTCCAAAGTATTTGTGTCTTTCAACATAAGCCTCCTCAAACGCTTTCTGGAAGGAGGTGGGGGTGTCCCTCTTTTTTTTTTTTCAAGATTTTATTTATTTATTCATGAGAGACATGGAGAGAGAGAGGCAGAGACACAGGCAGAGGGAGAAGCAGGCTCCACACAGGGAGCCCGATGTGGGACTTGATCCTGGGCCTCCAGTATCACGCCCTGAGCCAAAGGCAGGTGCTAAACAGGGATCCCGGGTGTCCCTCTTTTGAATGACAATTCAAGATGCTTCCTCATTAAAAACTTAGATCTCCTTCAATTTGGAAAACTACTGCTGAAACAGTCTATAAACTGGATCAGGATGTCAGTGCTTCAGCATTCTTTTTTTTTTTTTTTTTTAAGATTTTATTTATTCATGAGAGATACGGAGAGAGAAACAGAGACACAGGCAGAGGGAGAAGCGGGCTCCATGCAGGGAGCCCGACATGGGACTCGATCCCAGGTCTCCAGGATCAGGCCCTGTGCTGAAAGCAGCGCTAAACCACTGAGCAACCCGGGCTGCCCACTTCAACATTCTTAAATTACAAAAGCAGTATGTTTAGGAAAAGTAAGAGATTTCCTTCCTTGCTGTTCAAAAGTGGACCCTTGAGACCTGATCTCTGTCATTAGCTGAAGATGCATCTGCAGAATTCTCATGACATTCTTGGCATAGAGGCTGGCAAGAGGTGCCAACCAATGTAGATCAAGTGCCCATTTATCCTGAATCCAGATGACCTCAAATAGATCTAACCACAGAATTCATCTGTAAACACTGCGAAAAGCTAACTAATATTCATAACAGTAGATAATAAACCTTAAAATGCCTTCAGAGCATTCAGGGAGTCGTTGATGATACTCTTGGGTTTATGCTACACTTAATTCACTGGAATGCTGTCTCTGTAGACCACTTGTGTGGAGTATGTCTGTCAGTAGCTATTTTATCCTTGGTGATACATGCTCTATTCTTATCGGGCTATAAGGGATGAAAACTTTTGTTTCCCAATTTTGTTTAGTGGAATTTTACCACACCATGGATTAGGTTCTAGCCTGGAGATTGCAATGGGGTCTTGACCCATCCCTGGGGCACATGGTTTGCAGCCAGTGTTGTGTTCCTTAGTTGTCCAGACTATATGGTTGCTTAGCCGCATTCCAAATAAGCTGAGGTTTACAGAATTTGCTAGGACTTGCCCTCCTATCAGGTTATTTTCAACTCCCTGAAACCACTGGACATACATAGGAAGGGGCCGACCAAGCAGGTGTTCCTGTTTGTCCCCCTTTTTTCTTCCCTAGAGATCTAATGACAAAGAGCAAGAGCTTTCAGTTTTTTTTCAGAACTGCTTCCCATGTGCAGGTGATGAATTCTGAAGCGCCCATGAATAGGGAGTGCTGTGAATAGGGTATTGTATCTGGGAGGCTGCCTCAAGGAGCTGGAGGAAGCCTGCTGGCCTGGGAACTGTGAGGCCCATTCTGAAGTGCCCACTCCGAAACTAATTTGATGGAGGACCATGGAAAAAGGCCCTTCTGCTCCCTGGACTCGTTTCCTCGGCTGTAAAATGAAGACTGTGATACCTGCTCCAGAGGGGAGATTGTGAGGATGGGCTGTGCAGGCTGGCGCAGCGGGGTGTGTGTGTGTGTGTGTGTGTGTGTGTGTGTGTGTGTGTGTGTGGAACTTGGGGCTGGGGAGCACAGGAGAAGGTGCAGAAGGTGAGGAGAGCTTAAGCCAAGAGCAGGGGTTTGGGGTTTGCTCTGGAGGCGGTGGGCAACCAAGGGCTTCTGAGCAGGGGAATGAAATGATTAGGGCCCTGGATGTGCCCAGGTCTTTAAAAGATCAGCAGCAAAGAAGGCAAGAAAGTCCAGGCTGCAGCCAAGAAACAGAAAAAGCAATGTCAAGGGGCCCTCTTCACCTCCAAAGATCTCTCTGCTTAGGAAATTTTGTGGCTCGCAAGGAAGGCTGGGCCAGGCTGGGAGAAGGAGAGTCAGATGTGATATGGTGGGAATGAGAAGGATAGAATATGGAGATCCTCTGGCTGGGGAGCAAAGGCCTAACTAAGGCAGATGCAAAACTCATCTAAAGGGCTTTGTCATGTGGATGAAGGTGCAGAAGCTGCGGTAGCCCAGCAGGTGGATGTCAAAGCCTGGGTGAGGGTTGGGGAGAAGGTGGGCAGATGCCATGGTTTCATCCTTTCTCTAGCCCCCATCCTTTCCAGAAGAATAGAAGCTTAGCACATCTTTGCAGGACAAAGGAGTTTGCACTTGACATGATGAGAAAAACCTCCCAACAAGAAAAACTGGCTGGAAATAGAATGTACTGATTTGTAGGTAGTGAGCTCCCCGTCACTCACTGGCAGAGAGCATTTGAGCAGGAGCTGGAGGACTGCCAGTGGCTGGAGGGAGTGGAGGGGTTGCACACCAAACAGGGTTACACACCAGCTCTGGAGGAACAGGGTCTCAGGCTGCATGGAGCTGTCTCTGCAGATCCCACCCTGGGTCTCCAGGCATGCCTGGGTTAGTCAAGACCTTGGTGTCTGGTAGAAGGGAGGTGACATCCTAAGAAGGCAGGTGAGCCCGGAAAAGGAAAGGTGATTCCGCCCCTGTCTGCTGAAAATCAGTCTTCAATGGGACAGGAGAGAAAATGGAAGACATGGGGTGATGTTGGGAAAGGAGGGGTCCCTGCCTCTATCCCCATGGAGTGGATATCCTGCTGAGGGTGAAGGGGCATGGGAAGTGAGGAGACCCAATTCTGTAACTGAGTCACTCCAGCTTCAATGGAGGGGGGCAGGTCGGACTTACCAGGGGAGGCTCGGCTCGCCGGCTCCCCGCTAAGGCAGGCACTCCCCTCACTCCACCCCAAGCTGCCTATTCTCCCCCTGATTGCAGAGCACGGTGTCAGTAGGCTCCAATTAAGGGTAATTACATGATCTATTAGATGACTGCCACACTGGCTACTCAGGCTCCCTGGTCTTTTCCAATGCTAAAACCCTTCGGCAGAATCGAAATGTCTGGAGTAAGATATATAGCTTTTCCTTCCCCTGAGTTCGCATATAACAAAACAGGACAGGAGCCTGCCTGGGTCTGATATGAGGTCACAGCAGCAGGCGTTTCAGAGAATTCCTTATGTGCCAAGCTACTTTTGTGTCACCTAACACTGACAAGGATCCTATGCAGTCAGTATAGTTATCGACTCCATTTTATGGATAGGGAGACTGAGACCCAGAAAGGAGAAGCTACTTGTCTTGGGACACACAGCTAGTGGGACACACAGCTAGAACCCACATATGAGCTGAGATTTGTGTGACTCAGGGCTTGAGCTGTGGGCCCTGCTCACTGGCTATCAGTGCCACAGTGGGTGGGGGTGACTTAAGCTACCAGGGGAAGGTACTACCCTCTACCCATGGGGCCTGAATTCTACATATAATGCCCTATAGCAAGGGGCAGTTACCCCAATATCATTAATTTTCCACTCAACCCTATAGGGTCAGCAGGGTAGCTTATCGTGCCCATTTTACAGATGCAGAAAATGAGGTCAGAGCTCGTGACTGGCAAAAGCAGGACTTGAACCCAGGTCTGTCTGACTTCCAGAGTCTGGATTTTTTTCCTGCGTCACAGCTTCCAAAGGACAAGCACTAAGGATTGCATAGAGCCAAGCCCAGGGCTGGGCCCAGCCAGCAAAGGGCATTCCTCTGGCTATGGCTACCCTTGACCTCCTTCTATCATTTTCTAGGAGCCATTGCAGGGGTGAAAGATGCTGCTCTGGGTGTTCTTCCTGGTGATCCTCACCCTCAGCAGTGGCTCCCACTCTTCCCCGCCATCCCTGCCCATCAGGTAAGCAGTCCTACCACCAGGGCCTAGTTTCCTAACATCTCAAAACCATCTCTGCAACCCACTGGGGGATGATTTAGGGGGGTGCAGGATGGAGCCCTAAGCTGCCCCCCACCCATCTCCTCAGCAACTTCCATGGTCCATCTCTGGGAGGGGGGCAGACTCTGAGCTCCAGAGAAGCCTCCCGGCCTGGATCCTACCCTCCCTGGGGATGCACAGGGCAAAGGGCTGAAGGACCTTACAGAGACATGATGAGTACAGCTCCCCTCGTTTCCTTGCCTGGCCCTGCCACCCAGCCCTTTGACCTCTGACTCCTTCCATATAGAATCCCTCGGTATGCAGACGCCATCTTCACCAACAGCTACCGGAAGGTGCTGGGCCAGCTGTCCGCCCGCAAGCTCCTGCAGGACATCATGAGCCGGCAGCAGGGGTAAGCAGAAGTCCTGATGACTTCTTCCCACACTCCGATGCATCAGAGTGTGGAGGGACTTTTGGTCCTTCCCTTTGCACAGCATCTATCACTTCTGGATTTGTCATAGCAGAAGGGCCCTGATGTGAAGCCCCAGCCTACTTCTAACTACCAAAATATCATTGAGCACCAGCTACGTGCTTCTCTCTGTGCGAGGCTCCAATAGTAGTACTACCGTTATTTGATCATGATTCAGTGCTGGAAACAAAGGCTCTGCCTGGGACATTGTACATGCCCTCAGGACAGTGCTGGGCTCCCAGGAAGCCCTTGGTAGTATGAGCCATTACACTTAGTCTCCTACCTGTAACAACGCTACAAAGTAGGTACTGTTTACTCCCATCTGACAGAGAGCAGTTAATAGCTTCTAAAGGACACACCAAAGAGCACCCGGGCTGGGATCCAAAGAGCCTGACACCAAGGCTTGTTGCATTTTTTGTTTTGAAAAAGTAAGACACTTAGAGAAAAATCGCAGCAATAATGCAATGAACTTCTACATCCCTCTTCCCTATCTTCAACAATTCCTACTGTTTTATCATATTTGCTGACATGCACAAACAAGTGCGCACATTGTTATCATTATGCTGAACCATTTGAGAGTAAACTGCAGTCATCGCAACCCTTCACTCATCCTTAAATACTCCTACACGGTGCCTCCTAACGGCTAACAAAAGGACATTCTCCGACATAATCACAGAGTAATCTGCACTCAGTGTGCATATTCACCCTTCATCAGTTCCCCCCAAATGTCCTCTATAGCAATTTTTAATGTTCCTGATCCAGGATCCAGTCCAGGATTATAGGTTGCATGTAATTATCATGTCTCTTCAGTTTCTTTTAATCTGGACAGTTCTTCAGCCTTTTGTGATTTTGACATTTCTTATTAGTAAAAGCCAACTATTTTTATTTTATTTTATTTTATTTTATTTTATTTTATTTTATTTTATTTTATTTTATTTTATTTTATTTATTTGTGGAAGACACACAAAGAGAGAGAGGCAGAGACACAGGTAGAGGGAGAAGCAGGCTCCCTGCAAGGAGCCTGACATGGTACTTGATCCTGGGTCTCCAGGATCACATCCTGGGCTGAAGGCCACGCTAAACTGCTGACCCATCCAGGCTGCCCAAAGCCAACTATTCTTTATAGAATGTCCCTTGCATTGGATTTGCCTGATATTTGCTCATGATTAGATTCAGGTTATGTGTCGGTAGCAGTGATATCGTGTCCTTCTTGGTGCACCATATTGGGAGGCACATGAGGTCCATTCGTCCCATTATTGGTGATGGTAATTTTAATCACTTGGTTAACATGTCTACCGGTTCTCTTCTCTATAAAGTTAGTATTTCCCCTTTATAATTAATAACTAATCTGTGGGGACATATTGGGCAAATATGTATTTCACAGCCTATACTCTTCACTACTGTGTGAGTGCCTTCCTCAATGTTGCTGCATCTAATTCAGTGGGTAGAAGGGTCCACCCCAGATATTGGAATAGGCATAAGGACACACCTGTTCTGCTTTAACTTACTTGGCTCTGGCCTTTCCCATGCTTCTTCACATCCTACCCAAACAGTAATATCAACTGTTGCTCTGTTTCTAATTGAATAGAGAGAGAAACCGGGAGCAAGGAGCAAAGGTACGACTCGGCCGTCAGGTGGACAGTCTGTGGGCAAGCCAAAAGCAGATGGCATTGGAGAACATCTTGGCATCCCTGTTACAGAAACGCAGGTAGGAGTACGTGTGCATGCACGTGTGTGCGCGTGCATAGTTAGGGAGGACCTCAGAGGCATCCTTCCCCATAGGTTGCCAGGAAATGGAAAGAATTCCCAGCTCTCTAAAGACATGGGGCTGTGCCAAACAAACTGGGAATGAGGTCCCTCCTTACACACATCAAGAACTGGAAGAAGGAAGTAGTTCTGGGATACAACCCAAGAACCTGAATTTTAACGAATGTCCCAGGGGATTCTGATGTGGATGATCTGACAGGCACACCCAGGACCCCTTGACAAGTTCACAAAACTATACTAGCATAGGCAGCACTCAGGAGAGAAGATGAGGATGACGGATGATGGTCATGCCTCCTAATCGCTGAGCCTCATGTTCCCACCATGTGTCAGGGAAGGTCAGGAACGAGTGCTCTTGCCTTACAGAGGAGGGTAACTGAGGCAGAGAAGGGGCAGCAGCTGGTCCCAAGTCAGCAACTAGCAGGTCCAAAGCCTGTTTGCTTCCCTTCTTCACACAGAGCTCCACTTCACAAAATTTCCTAGTGATGATATGACCGTGGAGAAACTCTGCTGTATTTTTGAGCCTGATTTTTAACTGTGAGCACAAACATGTCCCAGCATGGCTCAGCCAGTCACTTCTGGGCCAACCTATTAAGCAAATCCAGTTCCCAGCAGAGCTCTCCCCGCGCTCCCTCACCTTCTTCCCAACCTAATTAGACACCAAGGGCCCAGAAATCTCACCAACTACAGTCCTGTGAAGCCACAAGCAGGAGGCAGATGGGCAGGCTGCAGGAGTGGTGAGAACCAGCCTGGGAGGCACACAGCAAATTGTTTCCCCACTTTGTGGAGAGAGGAGGAGCTCGAATCACCTCTAAGTTCCCTAAGACTAGAATTCTAAGAATAATGCCTCCCCTAAACTGCTCATGCTGGGATTAGGTCATCATTCACCTGCTTTATGGCTCCCATCAGGCCCCAGTGGGGTAGGGTAGAGTGGCCCCAAGGAGGGCAAAGTCCTAAGAATGCAGGCTTGTTCCTGCAGGTTAAAAGCCAGAGACTTCACAGAGGGAGCTCCTAGCCGCAATGCAGGTGGGAAGGGGCCTGGAGGCTGCTCCAGCATCGTTCTGCCTCCACTTTAAAGGCTGCAAATCCCAGGAACTCCTGGTGGGCCTAAGGAAACAACAGAAGAATAAGTTCTTATACCTTGAGAGTCAGAGGAAAATGATTTGGAAGATGGCACATTTATATACCTACCATGCTTTATGTCCACCTCATGGCCCTGCGAGGAAAAGGAGATTCAGAAGGATCTGTCCTCCCCTCCTTGGAAAAGTGGTCCAAATGCCTAGTACATGCCAGGCTCTGGGCTGAGGGTCCCTCAATGGATAGGACAATAAGGGTCCCTGCTCCCATGGAATTCCTTGTAACACTGCCACACTGAGGCAGACAGAAATTAAATACTGGACAGTGGGTTATTTCATCTGTGATAATGGTGAGAGGTATAAGGGGTGTGTTTGAATGTCTGTGCCGGAGGAAATAACCTAATCCAGCCCTGTCTGGGGATTCGAGGTGGCTTCTTCAAGGGGAAGTAACTGGCCCTAGATCTCAGCAGGGATGGGTTGGCAGAGCTGGGGTTAAGACTGAGGTTCACTATGTGGAAACACATGAGACCCTTCCCTTCATCCCACATTGCTTCTTCTGGAACCCAGACAGTCCCAGTCCTGGAGCACCTATCACCCTAGTTCCAGGTGTCGTGGCCAAACTCACCCGTGTCAGGTTCCCCAGTTGAGCTTTATCTTTCTTTCTGCAACAGGAATTCCCAAGGATGAAGATCCCACCTGTGTTTTATGCTACCTGCAGCCAAAACACAACTGTATCCAGTTAATCCTAATTTCTGACCTACTTTTTCCATCATAAATACAATAAAATTCCCCCATCCTGGTTTGCATCTCAATTTCCTTTTCTCTTCAGCCTCATTTTTTAAATGTGTTTTACATAGTTACATTTCCCAAAGAGGTGTTACAAGGTATACTCCAAAGACAGCTAACCCTTACCAAATAAGTGCTTGGGAGTGCCAGCCTGGTGGCTTGATGCATAGCATCTCACACGCTCGTCACACAGCCTAATGGGAGGCATTGGTATACTCATTTCACAGACAAAGCACTGAGGCACAGGAAAGGTAAGTGAACTGCCAAGGGCCCTGATGATAAGTGAGAGAACTGGGATTCAGACCCAGCCAGACTAGCTCAGAACCTGGCTCTTAACTACATCTGTCCACTCTGGGCCAAAGTCAACCTTCAACTAGTGACTTGTTCATCTACGAGTGATATCATTTATTCATTCAACATTTATTCTAGAGGACCTGCTAGGTGCCAGGCACTGTTTTAGGCACCCAGGATACAACTGTGAGCAAATAGGCAAAGCCTCTGATCTCTTAGACCTTATGTTCTAATAAGGGGGAAGAATAAGAAAAACAAATAAACATAGAATATGTCAGATGGTGGTGGTTGCAAAAGACACATATAAGAAAGATACTGGAGGGATCCCTGGGTGGCGCAGCGGTTTGGCGCCTGCCTTTGGCCCGGGGCGCGATCCTGGGGACCCGGGATCGAGTCCCACGTCGGGCTCCCGGTGCATGGAGCCTGCTTCTCCCTCTGCCTGTGTCTCTGCCTCTCTCTCTCTCTCCCTCTCTGTAACTATCATAAACAAATAAAAAAAAAAAAAAGAAAGAAAGAGACTGGAGGGGGACACCTGGATGGCTCAGCAGTTTAGCACCTGCCTGCCTTTGGCCTGGGGTGTGATCCTGGGGTCCTGGGATCGAGGCTCACATTGGGGTCCCTGAATGGAGCCTGCTTCTCCCTCTGCCTGTGTCTCTGCCTCTCTCTTTCTCCGTGTCCCTCATGAGTGAATGAATGGGCGTCTTAAAAAAAAGAGAAAAAGAAGAAAGAAAGAAAGAAAGAAAGAAAGAAAGAAAGAAAGAAAGAAAGAAAGAAAGAAAGAAAGAAAGAAAGAAAAGGACTGGAGGGACGCGTGGGTGGCTGAGTGGCTGAGCATCTGCCTTCAACTCAGGGCATGATCCCAGAGTTCTGGGATTGAGTCCTGCATCAGGCTCCTCAGGGAGCCTGCTTCTCCTCCCTCGGCCAATGTCTCTGCCTCTGTGTGTGTCTCTCTCTCTGTGTCTCTCATGAATAAATAAATAAAATTTTTTAACAAAAGAAAGGGACTAGAGAGGGCAGGAGGGCATTCTTGTAGCTATAATCCATCTATGTGCTGTGCTGTGGACAGGGAAGCCCTCAGTGAGAGGGTGATCTTCCTGATGGAAGAGAGGGGGTTGGCCTTGTGAGCATCTGAGTCAAAAACATTCCAAGCAGAGTGAAAACCCAACACAAAGGTGGTGAGGCAAGAGTGCAGAAGGAGAAAGAGCAAGGAGGACAGGGTGGCTAGCTAGAACATTAAGAGGGTGCAGCAGAAAGAAAGGAGGTTCAGAGGGAGCAGGAGGCCAGCTCATAGGGATCCTCAGAGACCATGTAAGGACTTAGGATCTCACTCTTGGCAATATGGGAGCTGTCACTGAGCTTAAGCAGAAATGACATGATCTGATTTGCATCTAAAGTCACTCTGAGAAAGGGTAGAATTCTGGATACTTTCTTAGTGGGGAACTAATTTGAAGATGGGGGGTTGGAGTGAAGTCAAGAATGACTCCCAGGATTTTGGCCTGAGCAACTGGAAGGATGGAGTTGCCATTGAGGAGCTTTGGGGAGGAGAGTTAGGAGTTTGAGTTTGAACCTGATGAGTCTGAAATGTCTCTTAACAATCCAAGTGAGGATGTTGTGTAATCACCAGGATATACAAGTCTGGACTTAGGAGGGAAGTCCGGGCAGCTGGTTTGGTTGAGCAGCCATTACCATTCAGGTGGTCTTGAAAGTCAGAAGAGTAGGTCACCAAAGAAGAACAGAAAGCATAGAGAAGAAGTCCAAGGACTGACCCCAGGGAACCCCTACATTTAAAGTTTCACAGAAAGATGAGGAAGCAGCGAAACAGACTAAGAATGATCAGCCAGTTAGATAACAAAAACTACAAAAGAGAGGAATTCCAGAGGCCAACCGAAGATAGTGTTTCAAGAAGGGAGTGACCTAGTGTACCAAATGCTACTGATGGGTCAAGGCAGAAGAAAACTGGCCAAGGAAGTGACCATGGAAGCCCTGATGACTTTGGCAAGGACAAATTGGGTAGAGTGGTGGAGATGTAAGTCTGACTACAGTGGATTCAAGAGCAAATGATAGGAACCAGAGGTGGTGGGTATAGATCTCGCTGTCCAATATGGTGGCCACTAGCCATATGGAGCTATTGAACACTTGAAGTGTGCTAGTACAAGCTGAGATGTGCTTTAAGTGTAAAATAGACACTAATTTTAAAAATAGTATGAAAAGGGCAGCCCCAGTGGCCTAACAGTTTGGTGCCACCTTCGGCCCAGGGTGTGATCCTGAAGACCCAGGATCGAGTCCCATGTTGGGCTTCCTGCATGGAGCCTGCTTCTCCCTCTGCCTGTGTCACTGCCTCTCTCTCTCTCTCTGTGTGTGTCTCTCACGAATAAATAAATAAAATCTTTAAAAAAATAGTATGAAAAATTACAAAATACCACAGTGCTTTTTATATTATGTATTAAGATAATATTTTAGATATATCAGGTTAAATAAAAGATATGAAAATTAATTTCATTTGGTTTTCTTCTAAGTGTCTTTCTTTTTATTAAAATAAAAGAAATTTCGGGATCCCTGGGTGGCGCAGCGGTTTGGCACCTGCCTTTGGCCCAGGGCGCGATCCTGGAGATCCAGGATCGAATCCCACGTCGGGCTCCCGGTGCATGGAGCCTGCTTCTCCCTCTGCCTGTGTCTCTGCCTCTCTCTTTCTGTATGACTATCGTAAATAAAAAAAAAAAATTAAAATAAAAGAAATTTCCATTCCTTTTTTTTTAAATTTTTATTATTTATTGATGAGAGACAGACAGAGAGAGAGAGAGAGAGAGAGGCAGAGGGAGAAGCAGGCTCCATGCAGGGAGCCT